ATCGTTGGTGGGGTTCAGAATGCTCTGTGATTGTAGGTGAACTATAAATCCTAGCAAGTTCAACTCCCAAATGTCAAGATTCTATTTTCCCCAAACTCCACCAGTGTTTGGGCATATTGAGTATTCATGTAGAGTTTGGTCTAGATCCATCATTGTTTGAGTCCACAGTTTTCTCTGGATGCAGGTGAACTACAACTCCAAAACCAAAGGACACTGCCCACCAAACCCTTCCAATATTTTCTGTTGATCATGGGAGTTCTGTGTGCCAAGTTTGGTTCAGTTCCATCGTTGGTGGGGTTCAGAATGCTCTTTGATTGTAGGTGAGCTGTAAATCCCAGCAACTACAACTCCCAAATGACAAAATCGATTTTTTTTAGTGAAGGACATACATTGGGTTGTTAGGTGTCTTGTGTCCAAATTTGGCAACAATTCATCCAGTGGTTTTTTAGTTCTGTTAATCCCACAAACGAACATTATATTTTTATTTATATAGATTGTACTATAACATTATACTGTAATATTATTAGTAATATTACATTTAATATAAAATATATAATTATAATATCATATTATTATTAGTAGTAGTATATTGTATTACATTATAATATCAATATTATATGTATATACAATATATTATATTATTATTATATATTATTATGGATGGATTAATAAGATTAATAAGAAAAATTACATAATGCAGGAGCACATTGTCATCCCTCAACCCATCAATCCCTCAAATCACATTAACACATTACATAAACCATATAAAATAAGCATAATAAATAATGACATTTATTGTTATCATTAAAAATCCCTGGGCCTTAGGCCACTGAGGTTGTCCTTAAAACATTGTACTAAAAACTGCGAAGCTCCAAATCTTTGGTCAAGTGTGCCTTGCCAGAGCGAGATAGCCTGCTTATTATGGGTTGTTGGGGAAGACTTGCTTCCATAGAAAAGTTTTAACCTGGGAGCGAAAGGCCAGTAACGAGCAGGCAAATGCACCTCTTTGGAGAGGGAGTTCCAGAGCCTCGAGGCCCTCAGCAAGTGTACTTGTGACACTGGTGGGACTGAGATAAGGGCCTCTCCTGATGATCTCATATGGGCTGATAGGAGGACATATGGTTCCTCAAGTAGGCTAGGCCAAATCTGTTTAGGGCTTTATAAAGGTGCTAAAGCTAGCACCTTGAATTGTGCCCAGAAACAAACTGGAAGCCAGGCTCTTTGAAGAAATCTGAAAAACCTCACAATAAAGTTAACTAGACTTTTTTTGCAATTATTATTGGTAAATTTTCCATTTTTGCTTGGTTGGGATAAGCATTGGCTGTTGTTCTCAAGGTGGCTCTGAACACATATGGTTAGTAGTGGAATGGAAAACCTGAGGAGGTAACTGTAAAATAAAGTTATATCAACATGCCTTGCTCTGTCTTCAACTCTCATTAAGGCAGATGAGACATTTTAGTCTTCTAGAGAGCCATTCTGTTGCAGAATTTACACCAGACCATATACAAGGCAGGCAGAATTCATGCGGATCTATCGTTACCTGGATATAGGTACACATATCCCTGGGGTTCTGTTACTGTATACAGTGCTTCTTTTACAGACAAAAACAGCTTGGACAAAAGATTTCTCAACAAATCTGTTTCATTTGTTAGTTTGATTTATTTAACTTTATTTGAAGATGACTGACAACTATGTAAAACAAACGTTCCAGCACAAGTGCACATATATTTTCTAGCTCTGGATATCATGGAATGAATTTCATCGGGGTAAGAAAATATCCCAGATTAGGATAGATTGATAGATAGACAGACAGATAGATATCTCCTTGGATGCCTGTTAAAGTAAAATGAGGCACTTTATGGGAATTCCTTTAATGATGGACTTTATAAAGTTCATGCCAATTGCATGGTTGCATGACTGATAGGTAGGCCAGCCCACTCATTAGGTAAAGGAGTCTACTGAGTTAAGATGCTTAAGGAGCAGCTCCACATACATTCTTTTTTGTTTTCTATTAAAGAGTTTTATATGCATCTGACTCAACTCATAAATTCCTGCCTTAAACACAATATACAGGGTGCCATCTCATTGGCAGTGCTGATATTAAAGTATTCATCTGCCAGAGCAGTCAGAATGGCTATCAGCGAAGCGAGGAAAACACCTATCCTTTACAACAGACAGGAAAACAGGAAATGAATGAATGAATGAATGAATGAATGAATGAATGAATGAATGAATAAATAAGGTTATGGCCAAAAGCTCCACCAGGGAGAACTGAAAAAGACCTTTGAAGAGTTGTTGCTAATTGGAGAGAAGAAATTTGAGTTAGATATGCCATTGCTCTGATGGTGCAATGGCACAATTAAGTGGTTATAGTGTAATCAGTTTAGGGCTAAGAAAAAAGTATTCATATGGTTTAGTACAGGCATGGCCAAACTTTCTAACTTAGGTGGCCGCATGGCGGGCCGGAGTGGGGTGGGCAGGTCAGGAGGGAAGGGGTTCTTCCCAAGTCCTTTCTTCCCTTTCCTCTTTTGGAGGCAGAAAGTGAAGAAAAGATGGGAAGCATTTGGATCCCAAAAGGGTTAGCCTTGGCCAGGATGAGATGGTGGATGGGAGAGGAAAAATTGTATCGATGAGACCCCATTTTGCCTACTCCTGATATATAATCCTAAAATCTTATCACTGGAAGAGAGCCCTAAGGGCCATCCTGTCCAACTCCCTGCCATGCAAGGAGGCACAATCAAAGCACTCCTAATAGGAAGCTTCTGTGGGAAAGCCTCCCGAGAAGAAAACTCCACCTCACTCTCAGACAGCTTATGCCACTCTCCAGGAAGTTCTTCATCTTTTCAGTCAAATCTCTTTCCCTGCCATTTGTACTCATTGCTCCCTTGTGCCCTGGTCTCTAGAGCAGCAGAAAGTCAGTCTTCCCCCTCCTTTGAATTCTTGAAATATACTTCTCATGTTCCCACTCTACTGTCTCTTCTCCCAGCAAAACATCCCCCAGGAGGAAAAGAGGAAAGAAAAAGAGAAGGCTGGAAGGAAGAAAAGGATGAAGGGCAGGGAATGGAGGGAGGGAGGGAGGGAGGAAAGAGAGAACAAAAGAGGGGAGGGAGGGAAGAGGGAGGGAAGAAAGGATGAAATGGTGGGATGGAGGGAGAAAGAAGGAGGTAAGGAAGGAAGGAAAGAGTGAAAGAAAGGATAGGATGGTGTGAGAGAGGAGGGCCTGAGAAAAAAGCCCAAGGGGTTGCTTCCGGCCCCTGAGCCTGGGTTTCCCCATACCTGATTTAATGCAAGTGACACATAGACTCTTCTCTCCATCTAAAAATTGCAGTAATTGTTAGGTGAGCTATAGGGATGCTGTGAGGATGAATAAGACCTGGTTGAACATACATGGAAAATCAGTGTTGAACCTTGAGATCTTTTTATCAATACATACATTGATCTTTGCATTCTTGTGCATGTCTGTTTTCTTTGCATGAAATAAAAATACTAATTCTTCTTGTCTATGAAAAAACGCTTCCTATATTCAGAATGCTGGATGTTTTCTTAGGAGAAGGAATGGAGAAAAGGCTAAGGAAAAAATTCTACTTTTGGAAAATTTTCAGTGGGACATTTAATCAGAAGAAGACAGCCAAATGGGAGTAAATTGCTGACCAGCTGGCAAATAACAGAATCTTATAAAGTTATAACTATTTAAAATATAGTGTGTTTCTTCTCCCTTATGATGCCTTTTGAAAGCCAAAGCTTGACTCAACTATTTTCAAAGGAACATTTAGGTCAAAAAGAGTCAACCACAATGCACTTGCTTTGCTGGCAGTGATTTAAAAGAAAATACAAACTCTGCCCATAGAAACAGAATATAATACACTTTAGGGCTGTCTTGCAAAAGTTGGTCAAAACAGAAATGATGTGTGAAATCTTTCACTAGAACTCCTGGTGGGTTTTTATTTCAAAGAAAGCTACTAAGAGGGAAGGAGAGCAAGTTGGACTGGGGTCTTGGTACAGAGCTGGGGCAGAGAGTGTTTTACATTTCTTTTGACAGATTTATTTTTGTGGTTGAAATCAACTGCTCCCTGTCCTCAAAGTAATAATGTACATCTCTTTCTTTCTGTCCTGTAGGGCTAGTTGTAAATTCTGGATGGTAATTGCAAAGATAGTTTATGTCAATGTTTCTCAACCCTGGGGTCAGGACCCCTGGGGAGGTCATGAGGGAGGTTTCAGAGGGGTCGCCAAAGACCATCAGAAAGGGGCTCTTTGATTGTAGGTGAACTATAAATCCCAGCAACTGTTTTCCCCAAACTCCACCTGTGTTCACATTTGGGCATATTGAGTATTCATGCCGAGTTTGGTCCAGATCTATCATTGTTTGAGTTCACTGTGTTCTCTGGATGTAGGCGAACTAACACTCCAAAACTCAAGATCAATGCCCACCAAACCCTTCCAGTATTTTCTGTTAGTCATGGGAATTCTTTGTGCCAATTCCATCATTGGTGGAGTTCAGATGCTCTTTTATTGTAGGTTAACTATAAATCCCAGCAACTACAACTCGCAACCCCACCAGTATTCAAATATGGACATATCAGGTATTTGTGCCAAATTTTGTCTAGTGAATGAAAATACATCCTGCTCCTGCATATCAGATATTTGCATTACAGTTCATAACAGTACCAAAATTACAGTTACGAAGTAGCAACAAAAATGATGTTATGGTTGGGAGTCACCACAACATGAGGAACTGAATTAAGGGGTTACAGCATTAGGAAGGTTGAGAACCACTGGTCTATGTTAAACACATCATTTTCAGAGCTCTTGTTGTGTAAGGCTTCTGAGATTCATCCCTGAAACAGACTTTCTTTGAAGCTACACCAAAAAATGGGCAGTGCAATTCATAAACATCTTTTGTAGTTTGAAGTCTACGAACCTGCAACAATTTACAACTTTCAATAATATAATCTCGTAGTATTTCAGAAATTTATGTCTTTTTTATTTCTTTTTATTGCCAGAACCTACTTGTGTGAGCGATGATATCTTTCCTTTCTGAGCTGAACAGTTATGCAGACTGAACTGTAGAAGAATGTGGATTTATCGAATTCGATGCTGCCTGTTGGCAGTAACACATCTGTACATCCTCAGCCATTTGGTTTACAGTCAAGAACCAGGTTGGTGCATTTTGATCAATCTTGCTGTTATGCTTTCCTTGAATGACTTGTAAGGCTTTGTACTGTCTTTCTCCACCGTGGCACATGCCTTATATTAGATTCAGCTTTCATAAAATGGCCAAAGGGTGCACTACAAAGAAAATCTAGAGGACACCACTTTGGAGGAAGATTTCATGTTGTAATGTGTGATTTGATCTTGAACGTTAGAGTGTGGAACTTCAAGGATTTTTTAAAAAATGTTAGCCTATCTTATATGAAGATGGAGAAAAGATAGACTTGTGGGACATTTAAGACTATAGTGGGCCCACTGTATTCACTGATGTTCGACATGCAGAATCCTCACAAAAGTGGGAAATGTGAATAAAACAACCACTTGTCTTTTATATCAGAGAGAATGCTTCTCAAGCAGTCTGTAGGTTCTCCAGCACAACTTTATGTTCAGCTTCTACTGGGAAGTGACCATAGAATTATGCTGGAAGACTTACAAATGCCCAGAGAAATGTTCTCTCTGGGAATCTCTAGGTCCTCCAGCAAAACTGATAATTGAACACAAACATCCTTGAGATTCATAGAAAGAGTGTGTTACTTAATTTTGTGTATACCGTAATCCAATCAGCTGACATCATACCTGCAAATGTAGTGAGCCAGTTGTAGCTGGTTTATTACGCTTCCTGAACAATTAGAAAGCATAAGTTGAAATGTAATAAAACGTGTATTAATGTGTTCTCTGTTACAGTTACATGTATTCTGCAGTCACAGCATAATAGTAGTTATTAGAGTTCTGAGGAAATCTTGACTTTAAATCCAGCCACCTTTCTTAAGATTGTGTTATACAGTAGATTGAAAAAGGGAGGATATCAGGAGCTGGTCACTATCAAGGCACAGAGAGAGTAGGAAACTGAAATAAAGAGGGCTAAAATGAGAGCGGCGGAAACATCCTTCAGGTTTCATCATCATTTGAATTCTTGGAGGAGAAGGAAATCAGACCAACTTGATGAAAGCATAATGTCTCCCTGTTGAAAGCTTGGTCAGCTTTGCTCACCACACACATCAAAGTCTTGCCGAGGAGGCTGTATAATTACCAGTGACTCATTGTGGTGCCCTGGATTAGGTTTAAGACCTACTGATGTGGTTGACTATAAATGAGAGTGAGCACTTTTTACTTTCTCCTGGTTGCTTTGTTTTGAGTCCTCAGGAGTTTCTTGAAAGCTATGATAAAGCCTCAGTTTTGAGGAAAGTCCTATTTCCGATCCAACTAAAACAAGAGCAGAGAGCTGCAGGTTTGGTGACAATGTTTCTGTAAGTTCATACAGATGATCAAAAATGGAGTACCCCCTCCCACCCCCCACCCCCGAAATGGTCAGAACACCTGGTATTTTAAATGGTTAAATCGTGCTGACTATTTAAAAGATTATTGATTGTGTTGTCAAAGGCTTTCATGGTGGGAATCACTGGGTTGTTGTAGGTTTTTCGGGCTGTATGGCCATGTTCTAGAAGAAGTCTCTCCTGACGTTTCACCTGCATCTGTGGCAGGCATCCTCAGAGGTAGTGAGGTCTGACCTCACTATCTCTGAGGATGCCTGCCATAGATGCAGGTGAAATGACAGGAGAGAATACTTTTAGAACATGGCCATACAGCCCGAAAAATCTACAACAACCCAGATGATTGACTGCTCTGGACACTTCAGGAGAGGCAATTTGCTCCTCTTTTGGGGCCAGCAAAAGTGATCTGGGAAGCTTGGAGGGCTCAAGGGTCATAAAAAGAGTATTCATGGACTACATGTGATCCCAAGGCTGCAATTGGCCCATCTTTTACATTTGATTAGCCTTTGAAATGTGTAGGAAGCAAGGTCCCCTGTAACATAGGTTTTATTGGACATAAATCTAACCTTGTGGAAATCTTTAGCTTTAGGTGTTCCCCTCTCAGCACAACACCAAGGAATTTGAAAGCTCTTGTTTCTATTTCATCCAATCTTTAGCTTTTTGTTTCTATTGCTGATATTAATGTTGTCTAGTTGGAAACAATCTACATCAAACTATACTTAGTTTCAGAAGTTGTCTGCACAAAGCAGCGAGGCAGGGAGGAGGGGGTAGTCAAGGGAACTATATTACAAGATGTAACATTTACAAGTAAATAGGTTTGCTTTCTTTTGTTATTCTCTTATTTATTCATTTTGTAGCTACAAACATAAAAACGGAAGGAAAAGTACCTTTGAACTATCACAGGGCACGGCTGTTTACAGTTTATCCTTTAGATTTTGATTTCCACCATATCTCTGTTGCCTTTTTACTCAGTGCAACTAAAATTTGGCTCTTAATTTATAGTTTGACCTCTATCTGTATTAAAAAGAATGAGGCATTTTATGATGTACTGGATGCCAAGACATATTCATTCATCTTGTTCTCTGGATTGAGAATTTTAGCTTGTGTGCTAAATAGGAACACTACTGAATAGAAAAACAGCTGTTCTCAAGAGAATAAGAGAGGCGTAGCTAGGCAGCTGCAGTATATAGAAATATGATTTCCATTTCTATCTTCGTAAATAAAGAGGGAGAGCACCATTTCAGCAGAGATAACTCTAGAACAGGGAGTATGGGAAACTATGTTATTAGATTGCAATTCCTATCAGCCCTAGCCATCATCGCAAATTGCAAAGTATAGTGGAGCTTGAAGTCCAGTGACATTTGAAGATGTTCCTCATCTCTGTTCTTGAGAAACTAACCAAAAAGTGTAGAGTTTTGTCCAAAATCCTATGTAATGTGGCGACAAACTACTTCTACATAAATCTGTAGCAACCATCTATACCAGTGATTCCCACACTGTGGGCCAGTGGACCGAGAGACCTAAAATGAGGTCAAATGCTCTAGATGATTAAATATGGTTTTCTGTGGGTGAGCAGATGGCGAGTACTGGATGGCATATGTTCTCTATTAGAAACTAGAACTGATGTTGTCTATTCAATACAATTTTCTGAATCAGCACCCCAAATAAACAAACCAAATCTAAAGTTGACCAAAAATGAATTTGTTACCCTTTTGGTACTAATGTTGGAGAGTGGTCCCTGGACAAAGTGGTTCTTAGTAAAAAAAAAAAAAGTTGGTACCCACTGCTCTATACAGATTTTACAGTGCTGATAATGTTTGGCATGTTAAAAATAGTTATTTTAAAAAGAAGCACAATAAAGTCATAGAATATGAAGGTGGGGGTGAGGAGGACTCCTCCCACCTTCTTTAAGAGAATCAGATTGAGCTCATCACTTTGGGATATGCTGGCTGTAGTTGATGGAAGCTGGAGTCCTATGACAACCACAAGGCTAGAGTGCTTTCAAAACTTCTTTGGAGCAGGCATAGTGTCATCTACCACAACGGCTACAATCTTGGTTAGGATTTGGCATTTAAAAACATAGCAACACATGGTTTTGCAGTATTATAATTGACTTCTAGTCTGGTTTTGCCAGGGGAAAAGGTCCCAAGTGGCTAATATTCTCTTGATTTGTTAAAACTGAGGCTATCACTTGATTAAAAAATACTCAAAGAAGCCCAATTTTAGTCAGTTCATCAACTTGCACATGGGCAAAACCAAGGCTATTAATGGAAAAACAACAATGTGCAGGCCATTTAACAAGCAATTATCTTTAAAATAAAATAAAAATGGGCTGTTATTGTGTCTGCCGAGTACTGGTTTGGAAAGTCAATATGTATTTTGTGCAAACATACAAATTGTTGCCTTTAAAGTCACTTTATAGATCAGACCGAACACACAGAGCTTTTTTCCAGTATAGTCAAACCATTTGTTATTTTTACCCTTTTTTCCTAAAGTGCCTACACAAAATACACTTTACTGTTTGGTCTAGGAGTCCCCAGTGGTGCAGTGGGTTAAACCCTTGTGCCAGCAGGACTGAAGACCAATAGGTCAGAAGTTCGAATCCGGGGACAGCTTGAATGAGCTCCCTCGGTCTCTATGCAGGGACATGAGAGAAGTGTCCCACAAGGATGGTAAAACATCAAAACATCCAGGCATCCCCTGGGCAACGTCCTTGCCGACAGCCAATTCTCTCACGCCAGAAGCGACTTACAGTTTCTCAAGTCACTCCTGACACCAAAAAACTATATGGCTTTCAAGAAAGCTAATATGGAAAAAGACTTTTTGAACTACGATTCCCTGAATTTTCCAACTAGAAGCCATTTGGCTCGAAAATTCTGGGGGTTGTAGTCCAAAAAAGTACATTCTGGTTTTCAGTGACCCCTTATTTCTTAATTAAGGACTAACCACATGCCTTTTGTCTGTCCTTTCCTTTCCTTTTCACTGCTTCGGACTATATAATAATTTTCTCACAAAGTCTGATAGCATCATGTTAGCTACTGTATGGGTGGGTGGAATGAAGGAGGATTATCTGGCTACAGCAATACATAATAAATCTGTTTCTCTTTAGAGAAGTCTGGCACGTTTTCCCAGAGCATCAAAATGGAAAGAGCTTCCTGGCAAACCTGTTTATTTTTAGGCATTACTATCTATGAGATGCATCCCCCTCCTCCTTTTTCCTACTGTCTTCCTGCTGCCAACAGTGTTCTGAAATCATGCTACTGCATTGTCTTGTACTCTATATTCTCCTTTTTAGCAATGGCACGACTCAGACCAGAGATCGTGGTCTGGGACCATGAACAATGAGATATTTGGTTCCTCATTAGGAACCTTCACTGATAGATATCAGCAGAGTTCAGTTCAACCATACATACTCATATATAAGCTGACCTCATGTATAAGTTAAGGGCAGATTTGGGGGCCAAAATTATGGCACTTTATATGACCCATGGATAAGTTGAAGGGCATTATGTGATGAGAGGAAAGTACCAAAGGCTCCTCCTGGTTTTGGCCACTTCTTCAGTGTTTCTACCCAGGCATTCAGAAAGGCCAAATTCTTTAGTAGAGAGAGTAGAGGGGGCTCAGTGTTTCCTTTAGTTTCTCCTGGGATAGACTAAGCTGTTGCCTTTCACACTGCTCTGTCATAAAGCCAGGACCCCATTTCCAAATAGGAGTTTAGTAAATGGTCCAAGTGCAACCCACAGAATCCAACCGAGAGGCGACAACAGCAGGGAATTATGCCAGGGAAGCTGATAGTCCATTCCAAGTTCCAAACCAATTCCAACAGAGTCAAGGGTTATTACAAAAATCTGAATGCCAGAGTCCAAGGGATAGTCCAGAGATCACCAACAGCCCAAGGTCACAGCTCCAAACACTGGTTGTTGCTAGCCACAAGCTGCCATTCTAGTGCACCTTTTATGCTAACTTCTTGGTGAAGCTGTGTTGATAGCGCATTTCTTTGCTAACTTGAAGGACCTGAAAAGTTGGGCCTTCTCCATGTACAGGTCCAAAACAGCCAGAACACTTAACCCTTCCTCTGGCTGCTCAGATGAACTTGCTTGCACATGCTCTACAGGTTGAGAAGTGGTAGCTTCCCCCATAGGCTCTTCCTCCACAGGCTCTTCCTCCTAGCTCAAACATTGGCCCTTCAAACACCAGCTCACCCTCTCAGAGCTACTCACACCATACTCAGGGAAGGGGATGGTTCCCTTCTTGATAAAAGTCAAGGTGCAGTTGTCACATTGACACTTGGGACTTCATCAGATGGACTGGGGGAAAGCAAGGTAAAGTGGAAGCAATCATCTTACCTCGTTCACTACTGTTTCCCCATCTTCTGGGATGGGCAGCCATCCCACGTCCTTTCCTTGTAACCCCCCACTCCTGAAGATTGTCTTCGTGCTCCATTTCCATATGCTTCAGAGATGGAGATAAACTGGAAGTGCTCATACATCATGTAATGGCTTCCATGGGATTCCCGTAGGACTCTGTTTCTGCAGCGCATGGAAACTGAGCCCAAAGTCCATCTGATGAAACCCATGAATAATTGACCAAAGTATTTTAGATTTTTAAAAAACTTTAATGTCTAGACTTATTCATGAGGACATAGGGTAGTTCTGGAACAAAAAAAAGAGGCAAGATAATAGCAATGTATGTCACATTTGTTTGTCATGACAAACAAATGTGGCACACAAACCTAGGGCCCTTCCATATAATCCATAATATTAAGGCATAAAACCCCACAATATCTGCTTGGAACTGGGTTATCTGAGTCTACACTGCCATCTATCCCAGCTCAAAGCAGATAATGTGGGATTTTATTCATCTGTGTGGAAGGGGCCAAGAACACACGTCTCTGAAACACTGGCTTCCAGCTAGTCTGGTTTAGGAAAATAATCTGCCAGAAAACCTAAACAAAGTTTACAGCCAGCATCTATTCTTAATAGATTCAGATGAAGAGTGAGAGCAGAAAACCGCCCAATTAGTCAGGGGTCCACATTTAACAATGCAGAAAATTCGGGACTAGTTTAAAATGATGAGTTTTTGGAGCCACTGACACACATTACTCAGAAGAGAGTTTTCATAAAGCAGATTGATATTACTCTTCCTGTATTTTCTCACTTATTGTTGTGGTTTTTAGTTCAGTGGTTTGTGGTTTATGCTATAGTATGGCAGGATGTTTTTATTACATACAGCGCTTGCTAATTGTCACAACTAGAATAGATCTCAGTATCTGTTCTTACATAATGATACAGTGCTGGTTTTTCAGTTAAATAATGTTCTTTTGTTTAGTTTTCTGATGTTTCCCTGTCACAGTTCTTGGATATTCTTGTCTTAAAAAGGGAGAGGAAATGAACCTCTGGAATGTGTCCAGAGGAGGACGACTAAAATGATCAAGGGTCTGGAGAACAAGCCCTATGAGAAGCAGCTTAAAGAGCTGGGCATGTTTAGCCTGAAGAAGAGAAGGCTGAGAGGAGACATGATAGCCATGTATAAATATGTGAGAGGAAGTCATAGGGAGGAGGGAGCAAGCTTGTTTTCTGCTGCCCTGGAGACAAGGACGCAGAATAATGGCTTCAAACTATAAGAAAGGAGATTCCATCTGAACATGAGGAAGAACTTCCTGTCTGTGAAAGCCATTCAGCAGTGGAACTCTCTGCCCCAGAGTGTGGTTGAGGCTCCTTCTTTGAAAGCTTTTAAACAGAGGCTGGATGGCCATCTGTCAGGGGTGCTTTGAATGGAATATTCCTGCTTCTTGGCAGGGGGTTGGACTGGATGGCCCATGAGGTCTCTTCCAACTCTATGATTCTATTCTATGATTCTATGAACCAGCAGCCAGTGAAGATTCTTTAACAAGGGAATATATTTCCATTATAACTGGTCCTAACCAGTATTCTGGCTACAGCGTTTTGGTCTTGCTGAAGTCCAAACTTACTAACATCACTTCCACTATTTCTTTTAGTTGGGCTAATTTTGATCAGCATAATGATTAGGTGTTGACTTCTTATTTTAAATTAGCTTTCTTAATACAATTGCTTGTTGAATTTCTTTTTTAACTTTTGTCTTATCCTTTGTTTTAATTGTATTTTGTTTTCATTTATGTTGTGATCCACTTGGGTTCTCAATAATTTAAGAAAGGTCAGATATTAAACATTGACACTGTGATTTCAGATTCATCACATACGCCTCTGAATTTGACATGCGTAACACACAGGCTTGCTAACGCTGTCTGTACCTGGACTACAGAATCGCCAGATGACTTCGGATACAGTTATGAATTCTGCTATACTACTAGCAGCAGGTAACAACATATAATTTTAGGAAATTGTTTTATATAAATGTGTCACTGCTGATACGAATTTATACTTCTGTGAGCTCAAGTGCACTGTCAATTTTCAGAGAGGTTATTATTGAAATCTCTACTCTTATATGAAGTCACTAGGTAATCATTGATATGACTGTTGGCATTTCCCATATCCAAAATATGGGGATTATGGTAGTAATCACTTTCTATACAGGGTTCCTGTTAGGATTGTAATTAGATAATGCATACAAAGCACCGTTGAACACTTGAAAGCACTTTTGGGAAAAAGTTATTAGTGTAGTTATAGATAACCAGATACATATACTTAATTGCTTTTTTCAGTAATGAAGGTCACATCACAGTTGGAAAGTTGTAACTTCTAATGAACATCACACCTGGAACTTAATGAGGGGTAACGTTAGCAATATACTTATATATTTTAGTTACTTTTATGGTAATAGGGGTGAGATTTTACTAAATGATAAATGAGGTAGTCCTCATCACTTGGTTCAAGCACTGCTTGTGGTGTACCTTGGCTCTCTTGCATGGACTGAGGTAATAATAAGGCATTTTACCTGCTGTAACCGTGATGTCTCATTATGGCCACTTTATATTGCCTCCAAGATCAAAGACACTATGGCTCTTGGTACCAGATCCTGGATAATACATTTGGGAAGGGAATCTTGTACTTGTGGACTTCTCATAGGCCTTTGATTGGCTGCTGTGCAAACAGATTGATAGACTAAATAGTCCTTTGGTTTGATCCAGCAGGCCTCCCCTTAGCTCAGTGGTTCTCAACCTGTGGTTCCCCAGGTGTTTGGCCTACAACTCCCAGAAATCCCAACCAGGTTACCAGCTATTAGGATTTCTGAAGGTTGAAGTCCAAAACATCTGGGGACCCACAGGTTGAGAACCACTGCTTAGCTCATCTTATAGCTTTAGCTGGAAGGTCTCGTGGCTCATCTGGAATGTGACTAATTTCATCTTCTATCATGTATCTTTTTCAGCATCAGAAACTGTTCAGTAACATTAGAGAAGAAAAGCCCTGCGTTTCAAGTGATCATATTTGACTCTGTTGACATAGAGATATCTACCTTTAATTCATCTGATGACATGAAAACTCCAATAGCTACAAATAAATTTCTGATTGCTGAAAAGGATATTGGTAAGAATATATTGTCTTGCAGATACTGCCCTTTCCTCTGTATTTTTAGTATACCATTATGTGAAGAAGTCTAGTCAGATTAGTATGTCCTCCACCACCTCCCCTAAGTATAAGAATTCTTAATACCTATTTAAAATTAAGTCATTTTGCAGGATTTCCGATTTTTCTTATATTCCCCATATTCATTCCTTATATTTCTCACATTCATTAGGCTACTTCCTCTGAGTTAAGAACTTTAAGCAAATCTTGTATTTCTTCTTTCTGTGTAATGAACTCCATTTTCCTTTCCAGTAGTATTCTGTTTCTGATTTTGTAGTTCATTCTGTACATTGCATTTACAGGAAAAATATTAGAATGATGTATTTTATGATGATGATGATGATGATAATAATAATAATAATAATAGCTTTTTTTATATCCCGCTTTTCTCCCTAAACGGGACCTAAAGCGGCTTACAACATTACATAAAAGACCATACAAAACAATAAGGTAAAGGTTTTCCCCTGACATTAAGTCCCGTCATGTCCAACTCTGGGGGTTGGTGCTCATCTCCATTTCTAAGCCGAAGAGCTGGGGTTGTCCATAGAGACCTCCAAAGTCATGTGGACGGCATGAGTGCATGGAGCACTGTTACCTTCCTGCCAGAGTAGTACCTATTGATCTACTCACATTTGCATGTTTTCAAACTGCTAGGTTGGCAGAAGCTGGGGCTAACAGCGGAGCTCACGCTGCTCCCTGCATTCAAACTGGCAACCTTTCGGTCAGCAAATTCAGCAGCTCAGTGGTTTAACCCACTGTACCAGCAGGGGCTCCTGTACAAAACAATACGCATATGTGAAACAATAATCTATAAAAACAAATTTACAATAAGAAATAAATAAACATATTTAAAAACATTTGTCTAATACAATTATTGCAGGAAACTCAAGACAGATGGCAAACATTAGCACGACTCAATAAAAGTTAGCTTTCCTGTCATTACAGCTAAGTGTCTTCATCAAAAGCTTGTGCGAACAGGAAGGTCTCTAGCTGCTTTTTAAAAGAAGGGGCCGTTTTAACCTCTTTGGGGAGGGAGTTCCAAAGAATTGGAGCGGCCACCGAGAAGGCCCTCTCATTGCCGCCAACCACATTTGCCTCGCTAGAAGATCTTAACGTTCTAGCAGGTTGGCATGAAGAGAAGTAATTTGCTATGGCATCTACATTTTACTTTGTGTGATTTCAGCACATGGAACAAAACAGTATATGTGTGTGAGAGAGAAAAAATGAGAGCGAGAGAGACCATAATAATTGAAGTTGCAGGAATGAAAGGGCCATCTCTTTGACTTGAGTACACAAAACTTTAGAGCTGAAATAAGGAAGCAAATTTCAAACTTGAAATTCATCCAGCCTGTAATATTCCAGAAGAGCACCTTAACTTCCATAATAATTTGGCCTCTATTTATATGTTTGGAGGCAGTCCAGTTTTTTAATGCAAAGCTCTTGCTTGTGAGGTTTGAAACAACAATAGCATTCTACAATACAGGCTTTCTTCTCGGCTTTGTCATTAGAGATTGGCTTGTATACTGTTACAAGCTTTGAGTTTAGATTAGTTCTGTGTGGAAATAGATTGTGTGTTTCTCAAGCAGACATTAAAGCTTTTGAGCTCAGTCTAGCCAAAGTTAAACGCTAATACATCTCAGACTTTTCACATGTCTTTCGCTCTAGTCTAAAGAAATCAGAGAAATGTGATAGTGTTTTGCTACTTCTTCTTTTCCTTCTTTCTCTTCTGTTTTAAGGAAACAGTGATGCTACAAAAGCATAATGTGACCATATGTTTGTCTGGGACCTGTGCCCTGGAGTATTCTAGAATTATTTATCTTGTCAGAAGCAAATTGAAAATACAGTTATAATGTATAAGAAATCAGAAAGTTAAAAACTTGGCATTATCCTAAGTTTCCTTTGAACAGAAGCTGGCCACTTCAAGTACCTCTGATGTAGCTGTTAGAAGGTCTTCCATTGTGCAAGTGACAGGGCTTAGACTGCATTGTAGAAGTAAATGGACTGTGTTTTGCTCTTCTCCACACTAGCATGTTGTGGACTCCTTTTTATAGCCCCATTTCTGAAGATTGACTCTGCATCTCATGGTGCCAGAGCGTAGTCTGTTCAGCACCTTCCAAGTTGCCCAGTCTTCTTTGTTCCCAGGAGGGAGTTTCTCATTCAGTATCAGCCACTGATTGAGGTACTTGGTTTTTACGTGCCACTTTTGGACTCTCATTTTTGGAGGTGTTCCTGTGAGTATCTCTATAGAGCTTAGGAAGCTGTTTCTTGATTTAAGTCATTGGCATGCTGGCTGATATCTGAACAGAGGATGGGTCAGAGATGTCAGTGCCTTGGTCCTTTCATTGCTGGCTGCTACTTCCCGGCAGATATGAGGTGGTGCAATAATGGCTAAACAGTATCATTTCTCCAGCGGTGTTGGGCGTAGGCATCCTGTGATAATGTGACATGCCTCATTAAAAGCCACATCCACTGTTTTAATGTGGTGAGATTTATTCCATACTGGGCATGCATGCTCAATAGCAGTGTGGCAAAGCGCAAGGGCAGATGTCTCCACTGTATCTGGTTGTGATCCCCAGGTTGTGCCAATCAGCTTTCATGTCATACTGTTTATAGCACCCACTTTTTCCTTGAGAGATGCCTCCCTGCAGGATAGTAACACATCTAGGAGTCCCCTGGGCAATGTCTTTGTAGATGGATGATTCTCTCACACCAGAAGCAACTTACAGTATCCAACTGACCAAACAAACAAATGGAGTCTAGAATGAAATCATTACATACTTTCCTACCCACTTTCCCCCACATATTTTCCTCCCTCTCTCATTTCCTTTGCCTTTTTGACTTGTTTCTTCCTCCTTTCATTTAGTATCGTTCTCCCTCTCTCTCTCTCTCTCTCTTACTTTCACTTTTTCTCAACAGTGTTAGGAGAGATGAGAAATGTTGGTTTTTCTTTCCCTGCACCCAGACCCAAAGCCACTCTGGGGAAATCAAAGTGCTGGGTTTGGCTGCAACTGCTGTTAAGGGGGAGTGGGGGTCCTGGTACTGAGGTAGAAGTGTGGGGAGAAAGTGTAAAGTGAAATTGAGAGCTGGAGATATGTGAGGAAGAGGCATGGGAGCAAAGGGGCACAACGGGGAGTTGAACACACACCCAGATGGAGCTGGAGTATTCCAACCTGGGAAAGGATAGAGAAGGAAGACAGATCAGAAGGGTCTTGTAGGGTGTTATGAAGGAAAAGGAGAACATGATGATACAAAGGGAAATAGAGAAGTGGAATGTGTGTGTGTGTGTGGGGGGGGGGGGGGGAACGAACATGCTGATAGGTTATCAACCCTGGCAGCATCATGAATAAAATGGCAATTTTATTGTGGCTGAAATCCTCCAGCATTAGGAATGTAATCATCCCTCCACATTCCCTGGAGTTAAKGGTACAAACCCCACGCAAACACATTTTAAATGACAGAACACTTTTCTATGAATCTCTTAATTCTAGTATGATTCTATGAGCAATGTCTGGTAGAATATGAGAACAGAATAACTCTGGATGGCCTAGAGAAGTCTCTAGGAATTTCTAGGTCTTCCAACGTAACACTACATGTATTTCAGTACACAGGAGTATGCAGAGCCTATAATTTATCTGGGAAAACAATCTTAAAATCTTTTCCTTTTAACTCATCAGTTACTGTGTCATCAGTTTTTAATACTGCTGTTATTTATGCCCTGGAGAGTTATGTTGAATTGTCTCATAGGAACACAGTGAGTCAGACTGATAGTCTCTTTTTTAATATTGCCTTCTATACTGTCTGACATCATTTCCCAGAATTTCCTGCATGAAACTTTGCTAGCTCTAACCCTGGCTGCAGGTGTCAGAGAGTAATTCCAGGAGCTTTTAGTACACAGAGCACATGTTATGTTACTTAGCATTAGAATATGAAATATCAAATATATTCTAGGCTTCTCCAGAAAGCAAAACACTTTCTGGAAGTACCAGGACTTTTCAGTTTCTTTTGTTTTCACTATCCTCACACATTCCTTGGTTTGCATCCAAGCACTTTCTTAAGCTATCCCAGGTTTCCCTCCTTCCTCCTTCTCCTTTGTGTTCTTCCCTTTCCTGCTTTCACTGATAATGTGATGCATCTAGACCAGAGTTTCTCAAACTGTGTTCCTCCAAATGTTTTGGACTTCAGCTCCCACAGTTCCCAACAGTGGGTAAGCTAGCGGGCATTTCTAGGAGTTGAAGTCCAAAACACCTGAAGGACCACAGATTGAGAAACACTCATCTAGACTCATGCAATATTTTATTTCATTTTCAGCAATTTCCACACACCTGCTGCCACAGCCTGCTTCTCCTGGAGATATAGCCAAACTAATTAAGCATTGGAAATATTTTGTTTAGTGCTGAAATTCACCTTTCCCTCTTTGAACTCTTGTTCAGTCTGGAGACCATAGCTGCGATTTACTAATGGCAGTCCAGAATAAAACAGATAATAAAGGTGAAATCTGTTTCATGTTGGAAATTACCTGGTTAATTTAAAATGACCTGGGAAGTAGAAACAAAAAATCCTTGATAATGCCAAGAATTCCCCGGAAATACTCCAGGTTGAAAAAATATATATAATGTGGACATAGAAAATAAAATCAGTTTGTACAGTTGGGAACCCCTGGTATTGCAGTAGGTTAAACCGCTGAGTTGCTGAACTTGCTGACCAAAAGGTCACAGGTTCGAATCCACGGATGGGCTGAGCTCCCATTGTTAGCCCCAGCTCCTGCCAACCTAGCAGTTCGAAAAACATTCAAATGTGAGTAGAACAATAGGTACCTCTCCAGCGGGAAGGTAACAGCGCTCCATGCAGTCATGCCGGCCGCATGACCTTGGAGGTGTCTACGGACAATGCCGGCTCATCGGCTTTGAAATGGAGATGAGCACCAACCCCCAGAGTCAGACACGATTGGACTTAATGTCAGGGGAAAACCTTTACCCTACTGGAGCAAACTGGTGGTGGTGCAGCAGGTTAAACCACTAAGCTGTAGAACTTGCTGATCGGAAGGTTAGTGGTTCGAATCTGTGGATGGGGTGAGCTCCTGTTGTTAACCCCAGCTTCTGCAACCTAGCAGTTCGATAAAAATGCAGATGTGAGTAGAACAATAGGTACCTCTCCAGCAGGAAGGTAATGGTACTCCATGCAGTCATGCTGGCCACATGACCTTGGAGGTGTCTATGGACAATGCCGGCTCATCAGCTTAGAAATGGAGATGAGCACCAACTCCCAGAGTCAGACACGACGAGACTTCATGTCAGGGGGGGAAACCTTTACCTTTACTTTACATGGACAAAATCTGGGACTTTCAGGGATTTTTTTTTCCTCATCTGGAAGAGCTATCTGATAACGTCAGACTGAAGAAATAATTTCAAAAGGCAATAGTTTTAGGAGATACATTATTTCACTTGTTTCCTATTGCAGAACTCCCTGTAAATTGATTGTTAGAAACATAAAAGGTTCTTACACATTTTCTCATCCTCAAAAGAAAGATGTCTAACCAGATTAAAATGCCCAACCAGGGTTCAAATCCCTGTTCAGACATTGAATCTTATCAGGTAATCTTGAGCAAGTCATACGGTAATTGCTAATCTCTTCTGAAAACTTTATAAGGTCTCCATTAATAAAAATTTTTTTGAACAAACTCAGAAAAATAAATCTCTCACCCCAATTTTTTTTTACAGAAAACGTTGCTTTTCTATAGAAAACTAGCATGACTTTTGTTTTAAAATGGTTGTTTCTGCTTCACAGTTGGAGAAACTTTTGAAAAGGAGATAATAAATCCACCCTTATGAATAAATGTGAAGACATTGTATGGGTGGGGATTGCATATGTTAAGGGCAAGAAGGTGCAGTAGTAAAATGTATTTATTTACGGTATTTGTAGCCCGCCTTTCTCAGCCCTAAGGGAGTTTTTTCATTGACTAATTCAAAGTTGGTTTGTGTGTCTCTCCCTCTCTCCTTCCTCAGCCTTTGTTCCTCCTACTCCACATATTCACACACTGACTCCCGACTTCATATCTGACACATTGGAACTGGAGTGGTATGATAGAGGTTCGGACTTCGGACATGATTTGGATGCTACCTGGGAAATTCAGATCCTCTATAAAGATCCCATGGAGGAAGTGGCCTTAGTAAGTTACTTCTCTTTACATTTCCATTCCAAGGAGCCCCCGATGGTGCAATGAGTTTAAACCCTTGTGCTGGCAGGACCGAAGACTGACAGGTTGGAGGTTTGAATCCACGGAGAGTGAGGATGAGCTCCCTTTGTCAGCTCCAGCTTCCCATGCAGGAACATGAGAGAACCCTCCCACAAGGATGGTAAAGCATCAAAACTTCTGGGCATCCCCTGGGCAACGTCTGTTCAGATAGTCAATTCTCTCACACCAGAAGTGACTTGCAATTTCCCAAGTTGTTCCTGATGTCAGAAAAAACAACAACAGACCTTTCTATTTGAATACTCAGGGTCTTGGCTTCCTTGTTAAAAGAGAGTGTGATTGTCATGGACATGTAAATGATTGGAAAGTGGACATCTTTGAATTTGTTAAGGCATAATCCTGTTTGCTATCATGGATGGCCTGCTAAATAGCTCTCCATTGAGTCTCCCATTGAAGTTATGGACCCTTCCAAGTTGTTAAAGAGCAATGTACATGATCCACCCTCCCATTTTGCCCTAACAGCCATGTGAGAGAAAAGGCTAAAATACATATAACATCCCAAGATTACCTAGTGAGCTTTTTTACTGAGCATGCAGCTAAACCCAGACTTCTCCAGTTATAATCCAAAATACTGACCACTATTCTTCACTGTTTGTGTGGAAATATGTGATGTGCCCTCTGGGTAGGATATCAGACCACAGAACAGCTTTATTTCTTCCCAAATTATTGCAGAAAAAAGCTCTACAAACAGCATGTTGGTCTGTGACTAAGAATGAGTCATTTGATGCATGAATAAATTCATGATTTAAAATTAGAAATGGAAAGTGATGAGACAGAAGCAGGAGACAGGAGAGGAAGTTGCCGCATAGTTATTGAGGTCATTCAGTGCAAAGCTGCCGGTCAGTTAAGGGGCAGGAGACCACCAGACACCAGTAAGTTATACAGTCCCAATAAAAAATAATGTGGTGCAATGATTAAAGTGGTGAAATGGGAAAAGGGAGGCTCAGATTCAAATATTCCCTTAGTTCTGAAAATCACAGAATGATTTTTAGCCATTCACTACATCCCTGAATTTACCTCACAAGTACTTTCCCCCATTACTTGTTTGTGGGTTGATTATGGCCTTACAGCAGGTAGAGATTCGATGCCAGTACATATAAATATAAAAATAAACAAATACAATTAAAACCACACAATAAAACATTAATTATTAAAACATCAATTAAAATCATGTAATCCAGATCGTAGTCCAAGGCCTATCCAGTTGTCAATTCTATTAATCCATTATCCTTATTGCACTATTTACTGGTTGAATGCTTGGTCCTACAGACACGTCTTAAGCTTCTTCCTGAAAGACAGGAGGAAGGAAACTTACCTGATTTCATTGTCTTTTCTTAGTTTCTTTCCTTAGTCTCCATTTGGGGACTTGTACTAATTTTTGACTTCTTTTTATTTCAAACAGCTGAAGCAACAAGTCATAGTTGTAAATTCAGATATCAGAAAATGCTGTAGCTCAAATAAATCAGAAACACCATAATATTTATGGACTGGAACAAAATGCAATATGATCTGACATGATGCCACAAGAATGTGAATTGTTTTTAAAATTGTTATTTTATGAGGTTCTATACTTACTGTTAATGTATTTGGATTGTCGTTTACATGATTTTAATATGTCGTAAGCTGCTTTGGATCCCGTTAGGGAGAAAAGCGGGATATAAATAAAGATATTATTATTATTATTGTTATTATTATTATTATTATTTATTTGAAACACAACAAGATTACTACACAGCAAACAAGGTCACTCTGCTGGCTGCTGTATTGGATCACATGTCGGACACTTCCCAAGTGTCTAGGACTGTGTGATGTATTGATGAATCACGCATGCAGATCCCACTAGGGTGGCCTATTGGAGCTGGCAGGTGGCAATTTTGTCAGCACCGATTGTGTTTAAGTGCAGGCCAAAGTATATAGGCACTGTACCCAGTGTGCCACTGGGACCAACTTTACTGGCTTGTGCCAGTAAATTATTATTATTATTATTATTATTATTATTATTATTATTATTATTGGTGGTGGTAGTAGTAGTAGTAAATTATTGTTGTTGTTGTTGTTGTTATTGTTGTTATTGTTATTATTATAGCTATCCATGGATTCATATGAATATTTGTGGTCAACAAACAACAGCTGATAAGCACATACATGTGTGAACAATTGATGAAAATATACATGTTCACCAATTAGAATGAGTCAAATTTCAATAGACAGCAATTGTAATACGCGTATCAGATCACTACTAAAATTGTTATTGTTCCAGTGGAGTAAGAAGTGAAGGAAGTAAAAGACATGTGGCAGCTCTTTCCTCTCCGCTTATATCCAGCAAAACCATGTTTTAGTGCAATCTGTAAACTAGACTAATCTCCAAAACAGTTAAAAATTCAGTCTCATTAGTAACCAGGTTCTCATATCTAATCTGTCAAATCGCATTAGTTCAGTAATGAACTTTTTAAAATGTATTTTGAAAGCTTGCTTTTACATTTCTTTCTAGATAACATATAAGTCAAAATTAAATGGCAATGACACCCTCCTCTCTTGGAAATGGACATCAAATATCCCTTTTAATTGCACTACACATTATGTAAGGATTCGCTGTTTCCTTCATGAGGAAACATTTTGGGGAAAGAAGTTATGGAGTGAATGGAGCAAACCTGCAGACATTCCTGGTAAGATGATACTATTGAACATAGTTTTTGAAGAAAATGTATCTTATCAAAAGTACAATATTGATAGTAGGCAGCGATATAAAATGTCTTCTTTATTCATAGACATTTTTTCTACAAGACTGTTTAGTAAAGAGCTGTTGCAACATTTTGCTGTTTTATAAGTGAAGCTAAGATTGTATTGTAACTTTGTCAAAGTTTTGGGAGATTCAGACTTAAAAGCTGTACATTTAGGCAGTATAATGATTGGATACTAGAGAACAGAGACGGTGACGCAATGGGTTAAACCGCTGAACTGCTAAACTTGTTGACCAAAAGGTCACAGGTTCGAATCTGGGGAGCAATGTGAGCTTCCGCTGTCAACCCCAGCTTCCGCCAATCTAGCAATTCAAAAACATGCAAATGTGAGTAGATCAAAAGGTACTGCTCTGATGGGAAGGTAACGATGCTCCATGCAGTCATGCTGGCCACAAGACCTTGGAGGTGTCTACGGACAATGCCGGCTTTTCGGCTTAGAAATAGAGATGAGCACCAACCCCCAGAGTTGGACAGGACTGGACTTCATGCCAGGGGTAAACTTTTAACTTTACCTATATTGTTGAACTGCATTTCCCAGCAGCTCCAGCTAGCATGCTTATTGGTGAATCATGTTGGGAGTTTCACTTCAGCAACTGCACCTGGAGAGCCACAGAACTGTTAGAAGTTTTAAGAATCTGGTTGACTTCACCTCCCTTTGTAGCTTTCCAATATTTTGTGAGAACAAGAACTGCAATTTTGCAATGAGTTTATCCACAACAGTGTCAGAGCTATTCATTTGATTGGGCTTGTTTGTGAACAATACCTAAGAGGAAGCATCTGTAAAAGTAATGTTGTGCAACAGCTCAACTAAAATGAATAAATGACCAAATTTTGCAAATCTTTCTTCTCTTTTATTTCAATCTTTTTTATTGCAGGAAAAGATACAGGTTACACTCTTGGCAAAGTGTATCCTATTGACAAAATAGTGCTAGTAGGTTCCAACATGACTTTCTGCTGCGTGTGGAAAAAAGAAGAAAGCAATTTTGATTTTAATCGGACTTATAAATTCTGTCCAGCTCAAGGGTGTCAAAATGCCACTCTTTCCAACTGGAGCAAGTTAATCCATATGCAAAATGTTCCTGTGTCACCATCATCTGGGATAAACATAATATGTGAAGGAAAGAACTCCAAAGGGGGAAATTCTCTTTATGGAACTGTTCTGTTTACAGGCTGTAAGTATATGGAATGAAGTAAGCAAATAGACATTTCGTGATGCCTTCAAATTTTTGGAATGAATGTTGACTCACCCCCCACCACCACCACCCCGTGGTGTAGAAGTCTGTGTTTTACCCCAAGCTTGAATTCAAATGGATATTGGGCACAACTTTTACTAGGTTTGTTAACTGTTTTACAGTGACAGATATTGAATGTAATTGCCTTATACTTGAGCTCACCAGCAAACAAAGCAAATATGTAGACAGAAAAGGGTTAGGACAATGTCCCTGTTACACAGCATTACTCAGGATCATGTACTGATGGTACATGGAGTTGTTGATTGGCTTCTTCCTCTCCAAAGAAATTTCTTTTTAAAAAGGGAGGAGAAGCAGGAGGATTTTTCACTTTCCATCCTGCAAAGCTAGAACAGAAGACCAAAGAACTCTTATTTGAAGCCTTGTTCTGGGTATCAAAAGAGTATCACCTCAGTTCTTTTCAGGGATTTTTTTTTTTTTTTTGCTTTCTGGCAAAACCATTGAATGAGTGCGTTTGTAGAACTTTAACTTCCATGTAATTAGGCAAAGTTCCTTCAGCAAGTCCTTCCTGTCTCTATTTCCCATGTCAAGAAGGAACAGGAAGGAAGGGGTAAATATGAGACCATGCTGTGCTGAGATTTTGTCTGAGAAATGGATTAGAAAACAAAATGGAGTCAAGAAGTTATCATCAGGTTGCCAGGGCAGGACTATCGCAGGCCCTCAGTGATCTGAGATCTATGAAAATCACGGGGCAGGTTCTGGAGATGCTGAAGGGTGATACTGCAAGAAACAACCCCTGATGATTCCATTAAGCATGATGCCTTAAATGTTAACCAGCTTTACAGAAATTACGGCTTTCAGATAAAAACACTAGGTCTAACATATGAGGAAAACATACATACATTATTTCCAAGAAATTTCTCGTGCCCTGAGATTCCTTGCCCTGAGGATTGCAGAAGAGAAACCAGAGCCTGGGCTCTAACAACTCTGGTTTTCATCCCCAGTCACTTCATTAAACTAATACAGTAGAGTCTCGCTTATACAATCTTCACTCATCCAATGTTCTGCATTATCCAACACAGTCTGTCTTCCGGCTGGATCCACAACTGTTTCAATACATTACGATGTTTTGGTGCTAAATCTGTAAATACAGCAATTACTACATGACGTACTGAGTATTGAAGAGCTTTTTCTGTCGATTTGTTGTAAAACGTGATGTTTTGGTTCTTAATTTGTAAAATCATAACGTAATTTGACATTTAATAGGCTTTTCCTTAATCCTTCCTTATTGTCCTACGTTTTAGCTTATCCAACATTCTGCTGCCCCGTGTATGTTGGATAAGTGAGACTCTACTGTAATTTGAAGTAGGGAGATCTAAGAAATAATGGCTCTCTATCTCTCTCTTCAGAATAAGAAGAAATATTATCTTCAAACATGAGATATTTTAATTTGAAGCTATAAAACATTGGTGCTTATGAATGGGATTTAGGGTGAAAATTGAGTTTTTTCTTAGAAGGATCATCTGGAAACTTGAGGCAGCAGGTCTTTCTGCATATCTTTTCTGTATTTTGCCTTATCTACTTGAGTATCCATATTTGATATAGTGAATATTTTTGAAGGCCCTGATTGTTGAATGGCAAGGATATCTAGTTCTTCAGGTTTACTGTTTCATGGGTTTTATACAGTGCAGTGTTGCTAGAATAATTTTTCTGCAGAAAATTTGGGTTTAGCTTTAATTACTGGCTTCCCCTACAGAACAGTACTTGAGTATTCCTAAATCCAATTCACCTGGTTAATCAACACCACCAGCTTCGGGTAGGTAGCCATACATTCAGTATAAGCCAGAACTGCAACCAAGTATTTTCAAGATGGAGGTAGCATATGGTTAAACATGTGTATGTATGTACATGACATTGCTTTCTCATTTTTCTCATTGTTACAGACCCTCCTGATGTTCCTCAAAATGTAAGCTGTGAAACAAAGGATTTAAAGGAAATTACATGCAAATGGGAACCAGGAAGGCCAACTAATCTAGTTGGCAGTCGAAAAACATCCTACACTTTATTTGAACGGTAAATCTTTGTGCACATGTGTGTGATCCTTCAAATTGCCAATTGACTTACGGCAACATTGTGAATTCTATAGGGGTTTCTTAGGCAAGGAATATTCAAAGGTAGTTTGGCTAATTCTTTCCTCCAAAATGTTGCTTACAATAACTGCTGTTTATTGGCCCCTTCTTCTTCTTAAGAAATAATTTATGAGGCTTTCCTAAATGGTTATAAATCATATACAGTAGGTAGGAGGCACTTTTTCTTTGTGCAAAAATTACCATTTTTAAAAAAGTCGACTTTTTATTCTAAGCAATAAATACCTAGGTGAAAATTCAATCTAAAAAAGTTAATATTAAAAAGCTAGTGTTTATTTTTGTTCATGATGCCAAATAGAGTAGATATGAATAGGAATGCCACACACTATTGGAAAGTAAACTAGTAGCCATAAGACTATTGCAATTTTCTTTGCATTTTGAGAAATATTCATCCGCACAGAGCAAAAACATTTTTTTCTGTTTAGAAATCTGTTTCCTGTGCAAAAAAAATCTGTGTAGAAATTGACATAATATATTTTCTACATAGAAAAACCACATGGCCTACTTTTACAGAAAGTGTGTTCTCTACACAGAATATGCAGAATTTCTACACAGAACATTGTACAAATCTTTGTGTTCTTATTAAGGGTTTTGCAGGATTTATTGATTCTTGACTCTTGTCCATGGAAACATTGAGTGTGGTGATGTACATCTCTTGAACTGACAATGTGGTTATTGTACTATTTCAACTTTAATTACCTCTTCTTCTTAACTTTGCAGAATATCTGGGAGAACTCTTACACACCCAGGAGACAAAACAACTCAGTGTAATTTTCCAGTTCTGAACAATCAGACAACATATAACATCACAATCCACGCTACCAATCGTCTTGGTAAAACAGAAAACTCTCTTTACTTCAATATAAAAACCAGAAGTAAGTGTTTATTTGTATACACTGTGGAAGAATTAGATCATTTCAGAGGTTACCATTCCTCCTTCCTGATACAAAGATGTGTGCCATTGGTTTTGAAAATTGGTTTCGCCCTGGAGGCTGGTGAATCATAATGCTAGTAATGAGTTCCTTAGTCCAATATTCAGACCACCTCACTGCACTGATCTCACTGCACTGAGTCTGAGCTGAGAAGCAGAACAATCATCATCTATCTGCTTCCACCTCTGAATTGTCTGAGGGTGGGAATTCATCCTTTGCAAGCTCTAGGATAAAAAATGGAAAAAGGAGGAATTTCTTTTGCACTTATGCTAAGTTTCAGAAACTTGGGGTCACTGGCAAGACCATTCCTTGACATATCAAGTTTTATGAGAGACATAGGAAACTTGCATCAAGAGTAGTTTGCCCCCAACTATGCACATACAACCACCATTTTTTTTTAAAAAAATGCACCCAATATTAGCTTTTAGGGGGATATTGGGGGCTTCAAGGGAAGAGGTTACAGAATGAAACTGCCACATTTGAATGCAACTTTGGAAATTTGGAGGAGCCCCCAGTAGCTCAGCTGGCTAAACCACTTAGCTGCTGAAGTTGCTGACTGAAAGATCAGTGATTTGAATCCAGAGTGGGTGAGCTCCCGTTATTAGCTCCAGCTTCTGCCAACCTAGCAGTTCGAAAACATGCAAATGTGAATAGATCAATAGGTACTGCTCCAGCGGGAAGGTAATGGTGCTCCATGCAGTCATGCTGGCCACATTCAGGCTCTTTGGCTTAGAAATAGAGATGAGCACCAAACCCAGAGTTGGACATGACTAGACTTAGTGTCGTGGGAAACGCTTTACCTACCTTGCTCATTTGGACTTCCCAACTCTATGTTTTAAGTATTTGTATGGTTTTTATATTTTTATAACATATGCTATTGTTTTTAACAGAATTTCTTGATTGTTTTTACTTGTTATAATTGTTGAGGCATCGAATTGTTGCCAATTTGTGAACTGCTCCGAGTCGCCTCTGGGCTGAGAGGGGCAGTATATAAATACAGTAAATACATAAATAAATAAATAAATAAATAAACAAACAAATAAATAAACAGTTGTGATGTGCTTTGTCACCTGAAAATTGATCTGGGAAACATTCGAAGTCTTCCAATGAGATATTGACTTGCAAAAATTGGAACAGGTGCCACATGCTCCTTATCCTGCATTATAATAATTATAATTGAGTAAATAAAAAGAAGCTGCTGGTGTCATTTCAACCGGACTTTCCTTTCTCAACAGTTAATCCAAGCCCCCCCACAGATTTAACTGTGACTGACAATAGCCCAACTAACATCAGCCTCTCTTGTTATCTGCCTGGAAATTTCATGAATACTTGGCTGAAGTTCCAAGTTAAGCTTTCCAACAAAACTTTCAGCAAACTAAGGGTAGGTGCCTTTTGGTTTGTAAAACTACAGTTGTTTTCTATATATTTATAATGTAATATTTGCTATTTAAGTAAAGAAAAAAGATAGAGCTGGTATTCCCCATGTTGATTGAATGCAAATCCTATTATAAATGTAATGGAGTATTTGTCCAATATTCTTCCCTTGTACATGAATTTATTCTTTCATTATTAGAGCAAAATATGTTACATCATTGTGTTTATGTCAGTTTTATGTTCATGAATGGGATCTTCAGTGGTTCCCATTCATTCATGAAATTTTCTTTCTTTTCTTTCTTTTCTTTCTTTTCTTTCTTTTCTTTCTTTTCTTTCTATTCTTTCTCCTCCTCCTCCTCCTCCTCTTTTTTTAAACAAGTTAGGCCACCTTTGCAGGCAACCACATTGGCCCAAAAAGTGCTTCCTTGTTGCACAATTCCATGTAGCTCAGAATTATGCTATGAATGATGGAGACCTGTAGACAGAGCTGATTGTTGGAGCCCTTGTGCATTTGGCATTCTCTTCTAGCTAGGTGTGGATCAGTAGCAAAGACCACGGCTGTCAACCCTTCCTGCATGACTGTATCAATCGTATGCATATCCCAGAGGAAAGCCAGTTTTCACACTGCTGTATCACGTATGAAAAGGGACCAAACAAAATGCTTACCAGCATGTAAGCAAAATATAAACTAACAACCCAGCCTATGAATAAACAACCAAGCAAACAATTATTCAAGCTTTTATTTTATAGTTCCTACAGCATTTGTATCCTGGCCCGCATTGTAGGGGTATGGATAAAACAATACACAATTGTAAACAATCTCAGATTAAAACGATTTGAACATATTAATAGGAAACAACCGCCGTGAACATTAAAAATCATATACATTTAAAGGTAAATGAATTCCTGAAATTTTAAAATAAGGAACCACGTTCTGACTTGGTGCAAGACACAGATAGCAACAATGTTGGACCTTTGTAGGAAGGACTTCCACAGTTAGTGTGCCGAGAAGGCCCTCTCCCATGACTTCCCTCAGTAAATTGCTTCTGCTAGTGAGATACAGAGGCAGGCTCCTCCTGCAGACCTCTGCTCTCAAAAATGTATATATTAGGAGACCCTTAATATGTCAGATTTCAAGCCATATAGGGCTTTTAATATGGAAATGTATTCTATGTTAAGTAGTACATTTATTTTATTTCAAATTTATTTCAGATATTTGTACCCCACCCTTCTCAACTCCCAGGGGGTTCATAGTTCCCAGAATTCACAATACAGAAAATATCATTATGTATATTTTCATGAGATATGTCAGAACACATCCTCTTTGGGCATTTTGTAGGTTCTTCTGGCTATTCTATGATATGATTACCCCAGATATATCCCATAGAGTTGTGCTGGAGTACTTAGCATTTTCCTGTGTTTCCTAGTGGTATGTTTCTGCCAGAAGTCATTCATTCAATAGGGTTCGCTATTACCCATATTTTCACATATCCACACTGAATTCTGAGTATATCCCACATGAATATGTACTGTATGTATAATGTAATATAAAGTACATAAAATACACTATGGGAGATCACAATGTTTTTGTAGTTGTCTTGTTTTATAATCCTCCATAGGTTGCTTTTTTTCTCACTGAAAATATTGAAGCAAGCTGCATAGTTAAGACCTGTTCTTCAAAGTCATTTTTTTATTAGTAAGCCTGATTCTGGTGGCAGCTTGATAGTACAATTTATCTCTACTATGTTAAAAAACCTTGTAAATAGGCAACCCTGCACAAGTATAGAGCAACAACTATAAATCTAGTAAGCTGGTATTTTTGTTTGACAAAAAGCTTGTTTTTGTTTTTATTTACAGACTGTTCATCTTGATGGTGCAGAAAACTCACATTACACGATTTCAATGGATAATTTGCATCCCTATACCATGTATACTTTTCAAGTTCGTTGTTCAGCTGCTGAGCCCTTCTTTTGGAAATGGGGCAACTGGAGCAAGGAACTGTCTCACCAAACTCTAGAAGCTCGTAAGTTTATTGAGTCACAAACAGATTTTGGAAAAGTAATCCCAGAATTCCTCAGATAACATAGCCATCCTAGGAGCTATTGTACTGTGGAGGGGCTCAATGACAGTAAGCATTCTGTCACAGTGAACACATCTTTCCCATTTTTTGTGTGTCAGAAAGTATTTGAGAAACTGCAAGTCTCTTCTGGTATGAGAAAATTGGCCATCTGCAGGGACGTTGCCCAGGGGATACCCAGATGTTTTACCATCCTGTGGGAGGCTTCTCTCACATCGTTCCCATGCCTGAGGGTATAGAAAGCTACTTAGGTAGGAAGGTCAAGCTAATTGTCCTGCTAGAAGAGAAAGTCCAATAGTTCGCGTTCCGACTACCCACATGTCAGCTGACCAAAGAAGGTGATTAAGAAAGGGAGAATGTCTTAGAGAAGAGAAAGGTTGCTAAATATAGGAGGCAAATAGCAGAACTGTCTCTGGAGCTACACTTCAACTTCAAGCCCTTGCCATGGACAGTGATTCTAAATCAAAGAACAAGGACAGTATCTAAGGCCTCTGAGATTATAATTGTAGTTATGAAGTCTTGCCTGGATAGACGGATTTTTGGCACTTCCACATTTGGAGAATGAGGAAGCATATGATGGTGCAAAGTGGGCACATTTGTTTTGAAATAAGATTTGCATTCCTCTTACTTCTTATTGTACCACCACAGTTCTGAATTTTCATGGTAGAATGGTTTTAGGGTTAAATAAAAATGGCTTTTTATCCCCTGTGCCCACATTATTGAAATGCGACAGCACTATGACAGCCACACTGGTGTGTGGGTCTGTGAATTTAGTTGGATAATGCAGCCCTAAGATCTTTGAGTTGTCTACTCTTGCAGTAAGGGATTTTGGGGGAATGAAGCAACACTACAAACACAAATATATTATCTTTTATACTGACACTGCTGTTGTCAACCTCATATCATAAATGGATGATATGATCCAGTAAACCAGTTCTATACATTGTGTATATAAGCAAATAAAAATTAGTTTTTTTAATGTAATTAAACACCTTTATCTTGTAGCTCCTTCACGAAATCTAGATGTCTGGCGAGAGAAAAATACTGATGAAGGAACTGTCATTATCTATTGGAAGGTACATATTCAGCTGTTTGATTTAATTTTCTTATTAGATGGTCTGGTCCAAACGTATAACATTATTTGGCTGTAAACTGATTTTCCTCTGGAGAAATTAGAATAACCACCTTTGATATAAATCATGACAAGGAGACTTAGATTCTCTCAGCATTTCCTTTTTGTGGCAATATATTTTGAAATAAGCGAGCTCATTGTATTGCTTTGGCACATTAGTTTACCATCTGAATAGGAATGCTGCTTTTTAACTGGCTATTCTGGCATGCCCTGATTGGTTGTGTGGATTGTCAGTCAACCTCGGGTGCTGATTTGTATAGCTGGTTTGTTTGTCGTTTTGTGTATCTTGGGCACCAAAATTTTTATTTATTTATTTAGTGCAGCGGTTCTTTAAGTGTGCTCTGTGGAGTTCTTGGGGTTCCGCAAAGCATAATGAGGAACTCCATGGTTTCCTCCTACTACTCGAAGCTTTCCCTCCTCTTTCCTGGTCTTCCCCCTCCCCCAAAAGGCCAAAGGCCATTTTTCCTCACCTTTCTCACCACCCAGATCCTTTTCCCCTCACCTTGCTTGCTTCTGAAACCCCATTTCCCTCCCACTGCCAAGGCACAATGGATCCTTGCCATACTCTCACTCTTTATATTACATGTCTCTCTGAAGGCAAAAGATTTTTAAACAATAATTTATTAATAAAGCAGTTTTGTTTTGCATTTGCATAGTTTAGACTACAGTGAGGCAGAATTATCAATCATATATGTATGGCAGATCTGAGCTTTGTAAGTAGTGTGTTCCCTTTTGGCTTATTCATATCTGTTTTCAATAGATTTAAATGAATAGATAGCCGAATTCAGATGTTCTGTCTAATCTGGGACTTTTAACTTGTGTAGTGAGGACAGTGCATATGATTTCCTGTCTCTATACCACTTTCAATTCTCAATTCAGGGCGCATATATGGCCAAAAACAAAACCCAACCCAGGAGAGGATATGTCAATCTTTCTCAAAGCCAGAGAAGCTGGAGTTGATGCAAGTTGTATTTCCAAGCATATTAAGAGCTGTGCTGATGAAAGAATAAAGCTTGATTCTCAGGTTGCAAAATTGGTTTTCATTTCCAGCAGTATCTCTGAGTGCGTTAATTAATCCTTTGGGAAACATTAAGCACTACTCTCGTGCAATGCATTCCTACTCTTTGGTGAAAGGTCTCAAAACCAAGAAATATAGTACACAGTATCTTTTGTGCTATGTCCAGTCATCTCAGATTAAAAATGGATGGCATTCTAACTCAGTGGGGCTCTCAGCAATACTTGGTCCACAGAAGCTTGTTGCTTTTTGGAGCCTAATCTGGAAAGACATTGTGTGATTCTCTGTGTAACATGCACAAAGATACCTACATCCAGCTGATCTTGCTTACTCTATATATCTATTTATTGGTAGTGCTCTAGCAATGTGGGAATGACCGCAATGAGTATTGTAAACCGCAATGAGTCGCCGTTTTAGGCTGAGATATTAGCGGTATACAAGTGTACTAAATAAATAAATAAATAAATAAAATGACTTGCTCTGTGTTCAACCAGTAGACTACAGTACAACCTATCTCCTAGTTTCTTGTGAAAAGTCATTTTGAAAGCTCTTTTTGAGGTTTTGCTTTCTTTCAATCCTGCTTTTCCTGCTTCCTCTAACTAATTCTCTGCTTGGTTTGCTATGGCTTTCTCAACAGCCACTATCCAATATGGATTCTAATGGAGAGATAAAAGGTTATGAAGTATCTTGGAATGTATCAGGGATGCCCATGAAGGAGTCAATTTCTGAACTTCTGAACAACACAAAAATAAAACTTGGAAATAATAACTACGTATTCACAGTGGTGGCAAAAAATAAAGCTGGTCCCTCTCCTCCTTCTCAAATAAATAGTGCTGAAATTCCAGTTGGTAAGTATGAAGTGAAATTGAGATTTTGAAAATATATGGTGTGAATGTATTGTCAAATGCTTTCATGGCCGGAATCACTGGGTTGTTGTAGGTTTTTTCAGGCTATATGGCCATGTTCTAGAGGCATTCTCTCCTGACGTTTTGCCAGCATCTATGGCAAGCATCCTCCAACAGACAAGAGTTCTTTGTCCCACCCTGGTCATTCCACAGATATATAAACCCATTTTCCTAGTTCCAACCTCACCACCTCTGAGGATGCTTGCCATAGATGCAGGCGAAACATCAGGAGAGAATGCCTCTAGAACAGGGGTCCTCAAACTTTTTAAACAAAGGGCCAGGTCACAGTCCCTCAAACTGTTGGAGGGCCGGATTATAATTTGAAAAAAAGCATGAATGAATTTCTATGGACACTGCACATATCTTGTTTGTAGTGCAAAAAACACTTTAAAACAATACAATAATTAAAATGAACAACAATTTTAACAAATATAAACTCATTAGTATTTCAATGGGAAGTGTGGGCCTGCTTTTGGCTGATGAAATAGTATTGTTGTTGTTGTTGTTGTGTGCTTTCAAGTCGTTTCAGACTTAGGTTGACCCTGAGCAAGGGCCGGGTAAATGACCTTGGAGGGCTGTATCCAGCCCCCAGGCCTTAGTTTGAGGACCCCTGCTCTAGAACATAGCCATATAGCCTGAAAAAGCCTACAACAACCCAGTGATTCCAGCCATGAAAGCCTTTGACAATACAAGCAAAATGGCATTTGCTTTCTAAAATGAGAATCCTATCTTCATTGTGCCTTTGGGAAGCATGACAGTATGATGTGAGTTGACTCTACCTTTCCTTTCAAATTTTCCAGCAACTAATAGTGACAGCAGAACCTAGGAGAAAACATTTTGGAGTTTGCAGAGAGAACAAAATGAGAATCTGTCAAAAAGTTTTGTAGCACTATATATAGAGTCAAATGTAATACTGATGCTGGTGGTGGTGATCTAAGACCTCAATCCTACTATAGAATCTTGATTTAATCAGTACAGAGAGATCTGTCCCTGATTCGGAATGCATCTGTTCCACACTTGGTTACCAACCTTCTGCAAAGAACCCTCTCTGTTTTTAGAGACTGCTCTTTGGGAGACAGGCCAAGGCCTCATCGAAAGACATTTTAGCTTGGAATAGAAGGGAATCATAGAGTTGGAAGACCACAAAGGCCACCTAGTCCAGTCTTCTTCCATTTAGGAATCACTATCAAAACACTCCAGACAAGTGACAATCCAGCCTCCCATTTAAAATAACAACAATAACAACAACAACACTCTATTTATATTCTGCCCTTCTCACCCTGAAGGGGATTCAGAGCGGATCACAGCACACAGCACACATGGCAAACATTCAATGCCGCTTTTGTAAAGACAATACACAGACAGACAGAACAGAAAGGAGGTGTTGTCAACTCAGTATCCAGCTGTTTTTTGGGGGGGGGGGGGTTGGTGCCAAGGTAGGTGAATCTAGCCACAGGGGGTGTTGTTGCTCCATTCTCTATGACAAAGAACCATCAGGACTTCCTCCTTCCTTTTCGGTCGCCCAGCATTTTCTGATCTTCTTTCTTTATGGCGTCGTAAAACACCTCCCCCGCGGTACTTAATTTCTCTAAATACAGCTAAAGCAGTTTTCTACCTGCTTAAGTAAACAGTGAGCAGGGCTGACAGTCGACTGTTCGCGTCAACCTGGAGCTTTGAACTTGCAACCTTTAAGATCTTCTAGTTGCTGGTGATTTATCAGCTGTGCTAAACCTAAAAGATCACATAAAAGGAGAATCACTATGCTGTGAAGCAGCAAATTATGCTGTCAAACAGCTCCCATTATCAGGAAGTTTTTCTAAATGTTTAGGTGGAATTTCTTTTCCTGTAGTTAGAATCCATTGCTCAGTGTCCTAGTCTCTAGAACAGTGGTTCTCAACCTGTGGTTCCCGAGATATTTTGGCCTTCAGCTCCCATAAATAGTAACAGCTGGTAAACTGGCTGGGGTTTCTGGGAGTTGTAGGCCAAAACACCTGGGGACCCACTGCTCTACAAGAACAGAACATAAGTTTGCTCCCTTCTGGCATGGCCTTTGGAAATTCAGGGTCCCCTCCAAACCACATTGAGATGGCAAGGGTAGGACTTTGCAGAACAAATAAAAGTAGCAACGATGACAATAATCAGTAATACCATCATTGTCATTGCCACCTCCATCTTCATCATCTGAAGTTGGTGGTGGTGATGGGGTAATGAGACAAAGTTCTGATTCATTTGGTTTGCTTAAGTAAATAAGATTCCTTTTTTTCCTGCCTACATTAGTTGTACTTTTGACTACTGAAAGTTTTAGTGTCAAATTTCCTTCTTGGGCTATCTCTTTATTCTGGAGAAGACCAGCTGTGATCCTGGAGCACACTCGCAGCTTCCGGGCCAGCTTGGACACAAGCCAAAAGAATACAGCTCAAAAACCAGATGTCAACTTCAAAGAGAAACTATACTCCTCCTTTCTTGTAGTACATGAAAACATGATTTTTCAGTTTCTCTTATTTTTGTAGCTTTGACCTGGCAGCCCTCCTACACAGCTGCATTGGTTGTGGTGACACAAGACTTTTCATACATCCCAGTGGGAGGAAGAGATACAAAAAGTATCTTGTTTCCACTCCAGCTGTGAACCATGTGAGAACTGGATCCCGTGCCATACTCTTCCTGTTTATATGTTCATAGCTTTCTGAAGGCAATAGACTTTTAATAATCAATTTATTAATAAAGAGGGGTTTGATTTGCATTCATCTAGTCCAAATTCCAGAGGGTTGCTCATGCTATTTTGTTGGAGGAAACACAAAAAGGGTCTTATGCATGAACAGTTTTCTTTCACTTGAATGCCTTTGGGGTCTAAGCTTTTGCAGGCTAGAGTTTGCTTTATTAGTTACATGCAGTATTTTCCTCAGTTTGGGTGTAGCACATAAACATACAAACGGAGGGGGAAATGGGAAAATATTGTAAAGAGTGAGGTCAAAGGACTTATTAATGTAAGTATTTGCTACATTTGTATGAAACACTCAAATGTATGATATATATTATTTTATTTTATTTTTGGTGTCAGGAGTGACTTGAGAAACTGCAAGTCACTTCTTGTTTGAGAGAATTGGCTGTCGGCAAGGATGTTGCCCAGGGGATGCCAGGATTTTTTGATGTTTTACTATTCTTGTGGGAGGCTTTTCTCATGTCTCTGCATGGGAAGCTGGAGCTGGCAGAGGGAGCTCATCCATGCTCTCCCCAGATTTGAACCTCTGACCTGTCAGTCTTCAGTCCTGCCAGCACAAGGGCTTAACCCATTGCAACACCGGGGGCTCCAAAATGTATGATGATGAGCAGTAATTAATGATAACAAAAATTGGGAGACAGGAGCTTTGTTTTTGAGTTAACACAGCTAAATTTACTAAAGTTAACAGAATAAAATTAAAATGGTTGTCATCTTATAAATCAAGAGCAAATGGAAATACTTCTGAAGATTGTTACTAATAGGAATAAATAAATGTTAGTTTTTTCTGTTCTGTCTGCTTTTTGAAAATTTCAAAGTTCAGTAACTCCTCCATATTTGACAGCTTGACTTTTACAGCAAAACAATGAATATATTCTAATGTTTTGTTTCATACCTATTCCAGATAAAGAGATCAGTTTTAATGTAAACAAATTGTACATTTTCTTAAGGCATCAAATAGTTGCCTATCTGTAAAGCTACCTTGAGTCCCCTCCAGGGTTGAGAAAGGCGGGGTATAAATGTCATAAACAAACAAAAAACAAACTCAAAAAACAAACTATGGCTCATGCACTGAACAGTACAGGTAAAAAAACTTGCAAATTTGGATGAATCCTGTAAAAAAACCCACTCTGGAATAGTCCTCCTGTAGCTACTGCCAATCACAATGTGTTCTGAAGAAAATACAAATGGTCAGAAGCACAGGATCTCTACTTTGGACAGGTTTATTTGTATAGCACACGTTATCTCACTGAAATCAAGCTTCTCAGGCCATTTACTCAATGGCTTTATAGTTTAAAACAGGTACAAAAGAATTATCAGTAACTGAAACTTAAAACAGTGTAGGGATTTTGCACTCATTGCCAGCTTACATAAAGTTTACAATGCTAGATACTAGCATCAGTTATAACTAATGTATCAACATCACTGACGCACTCTTTGTGCTATTCTAATGTCCAGCATGAATTTAGTACATGTGGATCCTAAACGTCAGTTGAACAAATTAAAGCAACATTTCGGGAGTTACGTAAGTCCTGTGTGAATGAATATCACATCATCACTCAGTTTTGAGGCATTGTGAGTCATGGTTCCAGATTCAGGGAGGCTGAATCATCTCTAAAGCTGAGAAATATTGGCATTCTCTTCAGCCTGGGTTCTCCACATTCTGCAAATGCTTTGGATGATGATCAGTGAGAACAAGGCATTTGTCTGTGTTCTAAATCTAAAGAATTTCACCTGGCATCAGTTGTTTAAGTGATAACCATTAGAAATAATGCTACCAGAATATTTGTCAATTAAAGCACAGAAGTAGAACAGCGGGTAAAGACCAAAACAGGTCATTTCTGGCAACCAATAGGTGGAAATAGTTTAGAGGTGAAATTTAGTCTTCAAAAGTTATATTGGGAATATGGATTTTGGACTGCTGGCCTGTCCAATTGGAACTGGATTGTCAGGCATGCAAGACAGGTGCCTCACTCAGTGTAAGCTTCAAATATTTTGGTCACCCTTTTTGCAAGTGAAGGCTTATGTTCTAGGTGCCTTACAGTCTTCCCCGTGCTGTTCTTCAGACGAGGAATTGATCAGAGCAGGAAGTCTAAGTATTTCTTATAGAAGCAGTAAAGACACGTGAAAATGTGGCAAGAGCATGCTCTACTGGGATATAGTGCATTTCTCAGAGCTATAGTGCTTCACCATCCCTGATTTAAGAGGATGGGTTAAGTAGATCTTGTTAAGATTCCGCTTTATATTTTGTGCTTTATGGTCTATGTTAATTTTTGATTCTGCTTTATGTTCTGTGTTTATTCTCCACTTTTACTTTAAGATACTCTGGCCTAGGAGACATACTGTTGTCCTTAATTGTGTTGCAGTCATAAGTAGTTTTGGACAGATGGGTTTAGGCCAAGGAGTAACTTTTGATGTTATCCATGTTACACAGGTCCCGTACCAACAGAGGCTGGAGTTGCAACAGGAGATGGTGTTCAGGTCACTTGGCTTCCTGATCCCAGTGTGACCTGTGGCTATAAAGTCAGATGGTGTTATGAGCCAGGGTCCTGTACTGCTGTCAATTGGGAAACATTTCCTTCCAATGTGACGAATCCCATCATTAGATCCAGTAAGAAACAACTGTTTTAAGTTTTTTTCATTTAAATGGAGAACTGTGAAACATGGCCCATTTTCAAGTCAGTGCTTGAAATGAGGTTTTCAGCCCTTCACATTTTCTGAGGTTAGGAGTGCACTTCCCCACCTTCCTGGGAAAGTAGAAAAAGTACACACACACACACACACACACACACATATATCCTGAGAAAATGCTTCTCTAGGAATCTCTAGGTTTTCCTATAAAGCCATGCTAGAGGACCTAGAGATTCCTAGCAAGGTGTTCTCTAGAAATCTGTGGATCCCCCAACATAACTTTCTAGATTCTGTTGCCATTCCATTGGATGAAAGGGGCATAATCTTAGACAGTTGGCTCTTTGGATTTGTGGATTTAATTATTTGCTGGTCAATTAAAACATTATCTCTAAGAATCTGTGTAGGTATTCTGTAACATACTTCTATCAGAAGTTGAACATAGAGACATGCTGGAGGAGCTATAGATGCCTTTCTTTTAGAACAGGGTGAGTGACTTGAGAATTTTTGGAGATAATTTTCTGCCTGCAGAACTCTCTGTCAGACACATTAATTTCCAAAACAAGCAGAGGAAGGGGGAAAATGATCAGAGATCTACTGCTGCTTTTGAATTTAGAGGATTTAGGAAGGCTAGGGACTACACAACATGTTAAAGAGTAAATCCACCATTCCTGACAGCTTCCAAGGGCAGAACAAACATCAGAATATGTGGTGAAATCGAAAAACTTACTTTGGTGGGATTGCATGTGGCACACAGATGCACCTGCCCTACCTGTTCCACTACTTCTGGTCTAAAACAAATCCATGCATGTAGTGGCCTCTGCCTTACTTGTATATTTTCTGTACTAAAATGCATATTTTCTTGGTATATTGATAGCATTGTAAAAGAGATTATTTTATGTTGATTCTGTCCCACAGCTCTCTTTCAACCAGGAGTTCGATACCATTTTTCTGTCTATGGCTGCAAAAACAATGGGTACCAGCTGCTAAAATATGTAGATGGTTATTCAAAAGAATTGGGTAAGCACATTTTGATCTTTTGTTAAAGACTGTCTCCTGGAAGAGAATAAATACAGCTTTGCAGTTAGGGTTTTGTGAGCAAAAGACAGTTATATAAATGTGTAATGTATGTTCATTGTGTTTATTGTATGTTTAAACACTAATCTTGATCCAGAATTGAGCTATGAGTCTACTTAAACCAGGCAGCACCAACCTGGTTACAGCTATCGTTTGGCGATATACAGGGAATGGTATTCAGGCAACAAAGTAAGTCGGAATGGATGATGTTTGTTGATGTTGCTCCAAGCCCTCATGCAAAGTTGAGGGAGATGAGATCTTAGAAAATGACCTACAGGAGTAGACAGATTCTGTCAATGCAAGCTCCAAATCCAACATACAATAGAATAGTAAAGACAATAAATAAGAGAACAAATGCAGGCCTTTAAAAAATCCTAATAATGGGTTAGATCTAACATTTTTTGCCATTTCCAGTTCAAATTCAAGCATTTGAACTTTCCCACTGTGTTACAAAACAATTGAATTTGGGTTCAGTCTCATAGAAAATTGAGACATGTCTTAAATGACATACAAAATCATCTTAAACGGCAACATTTGCATTTAAATTTGTAATGATTGAGTGATCTCTTTTTAGCAAGTAGAGTCAACTTTTTAGCAGAATAGAGTCATATTAATCTGAAAGCATAAGCATTATCTTTGTGTGAGTAAAATGCATTCAGTGCAAGTAAATAGTATCTTGAGTTGATAAGCAATGAAATACAGTGTGTCTCCTGTATTTGCAAAATAGCTATTCACCGTTTCAGAATTTAGCTACATCCAGCAAAATATGTCCTCTCTAAGCATTTCCTAGGTCTTTCAGCACAATTCTGTGTTATTTTTGGGCTGGAAGACTTTTCAGTAGAGTTGGCTATTATCCATGTCTTTGTGTAACCATACATAAATGTTTTTAGATTGTAATCTGGTTGCATTTATTGCTTCACTAATATAGTGAAATGGGAAATATTATCACAGTTTAAGTCTGACTCCTGTTGTACTTCAAACTAGAGTAAACCCATTAAATCAAGCAGATTTGCACAAGGATTGACTCAGTATTCCAAATATAATTCAATGGATTGGAATTATTACCAGGATCTAGACCTGTTTGCTGCAATGGTCACCACTTGCTCTAATTTTTTAAGCAAAACATAAATTTTCCTTCACATTTTTTCTACCCAGAACCAGCAGTTGCACCAGTGTTTAATGCAGTGAAAACCACCTCAGATTCCATCTCAATAAAATGGCAACATATTCCCACTGAACAGATCCGGGGCTTTATAAAGGGCTATTTGCTTCACTTTGGAAAAGGAGAGGAAGGCAACACAAAGCCAAAAGATTTTGAGACAGGTAAGTAAGGTTATTTGATCGTTTTTCACAAAATATGAATGGCAACAAGCCAAATTTCAAGCAAGAAAGAAATTTGATGGCATTGACAAGTAGTGGAAAGGCAGAAATTTGTATGAAGGTCTTCAGTTATCCGGATTCATAATACATGCAACCACAAACCCTCCCATAGTAGACAGCTAGGACCAAGGCTATTTGAAAAGCCATATGTCATGAATGACTTTTCAATAACTTTTAAAGCATAGGTTCTTTTTATTACAATTTCCAGTGTGAGAGGGTATATCAGATTACAGAAAAAACATTTAGACAAAGAATGTCATTGGACATGCAGACATATAGATTCTATGCAACTACATTGGATTCACAATTACATTGGTTAATAAACAAAGGGGAATTACATTTTCAGTCAACATTCACATCCACATGCATCCAAAATATCACCATATCCTTTTCTCCCTCCTTGGAGAAGCACCAGTTAGGTCAGACCTTGCTTTCCTGCAGCCTGCCAATGTATGGTTCCATAACTTCAAAACTCCAAAATGCCAAAACTCCTTCCCTAAACACAATGCCAAGGAACAGTTCTCTGTTTTCCATACAGCAGAACCTGACTCCCTGCACAAAACCTAAGACTCCAAAAGCACACTTCTTCCTCTTCCCTTGAGAAAGAAGCCAAAGTGACTAGACTGCTCCCGTGCAATTCTGCCCTTCTCCATAGTACTCTATCTCTCTCCTTCCCATGGAGCAGAGCATAGCGGGTGGAAGAGACTCCTCAGGACTGCCACACTTTGAGCATTATTAGACTGAGTCTTTTAAAGGAATATTCTGTTGATGTAGTCCCAAAGTTGTAAATTAATGATAGACATCTTCCATCCTGGCTCCATCTCAACTTCCTGGCCAGATGTTGACTCTTCTCGATTGGTGTTGACAAACACAAGGCTTGTGTTGACTTCCTTCTTAACATAAGGAATGTTACAAACATTTCTGTTATCACTGTCCCAGTTCTTATCACAGCTTACTTTTAATTACAGTCCAGCAAGCAGGTAGTTAGTCACTGCAGGCCTTAATACTTTACTGGTGCTTCCAAAATTATTAACTCCAACCACACATCCTTCCATTCATTCCCACACATCATATCACATTCACATTTGTCAAATCTGCAATGATATTTTTATGACACATATTCCACTACATGAACATGTCCCCATTTTAAGAGCTTTGCAGGAGAGGCATTTCTCAGCTTTATCATGATTGACAGCACATATAGTTGCCATATGAGAGAGGGCATTTTCAGTGACTTTCCGCAGTCTCTAAATACCCCTATTGATGTATGCTAGGTTGGCTTCCTCTCTATTGCGCTTTTAACAAATGTATCTCTTGTTAAAAGTGGTGCAGCTAGTTGAGTGCTGACCATGGCCATTTTTAACATGACAAATAAAATGAACACATCTTGTCACTGCTGTGAACAATCCACAGGATGTCTGGCCGGTTTTGCAGCAGAAGTCTACCAGTATTGTAGGTCTGTATCTGTGTATAGTCTACAACACAGCAGTATGCCCTGGACAGTGAAATATGGATGGTTTTGTTTTAATTCTGAATTCTCATCCAACTTTGGAGACACGGAAATCAAAATTGCTTGAACATCACTCTTAACTGTTGGTATTGGAAATCTTGCTCTGCTTTGCCATAGAGGGAGAAAAGGTGCTGGAGGATCTTCTCCATGAGCCCCTTGGTAGACCCCTGCCTCAGGTATAATGCAAATGTAACTCCATCCTTTCCAGTAGCCAATAAATCTGTCTCTCTTTATCCATTTTGCTGAGATTTGCAGTTCCCTCCTCCCCATTCTGTTTTTGGGGATTACACAGAATGGACCACCAAATATTGCAAATCACTTTCGGTCAAACTGATTTGTGCCCAAGCCTAGTTACTACACAGAGGTGCAACAGGAACTTAGAATATGAAGAGTGAAATGGTATTCAATCCACAAAGGAGTTTGATCTGAGAGAGATAATTATGTTGGATTCATTGTTGTTGTTTTTTATGAAGAGCTTACTAACATTTGCTTGTTTCTTCATCAGCATGATGTATAAATGGCACACTTCAAACAGATAGTAAAGTCACAAAGTAGATTTGCCCAAAAGGAGGGCTTCAAGTGCTCTCTAACAACTTTGCATTTGTTTGCAGCTATAGTGAAAATGTTGTTTGTAGTACTGAATTACAGTTGGCACCTTTACTTCTGTGAAAGGTTCCTTACCCCTAACAGCTACAGGATAGGAATGCACAACATTGTCTTTTCAATGCTGGGAACAGCTTCACTTGTTGAGTCTTGCTGTTACAGGTGATGCAACATTTTGTCCTTGTTTCAGGGTTTCTTTTAGACCGTTTCAAAACACACAGATTTCTTCATAAATGGGACAGAAAAGACAGATTTTAAAATATTGAATGTGAAAGAAACTCACATCAAGAGATTTATTTATTTATTATTTGCTTCATTTATATCCCACCTGTCCCACCCCCGTAGTGGGACTCAAGGCGGCTTACATCTCCGGCAAGATTCAGTGCCACTTAAACAGAGTTATAAAACCCATCCCATAAACTAAAAACAATTGAAACAGTAAGCAAATAAAACAAAGAATAATAACAGATTAAAACATATAAAGTGCATGGTTCCATTCATCCATAATCCTTATTCAGACTGTCAAAACTGTAGTAATTTATTCTTCAAACGCTTGTGTACAGAGCCACGTCTTTACCTTTTTTTTCTGAAGACCAGAAGAGATAGGTTTTGCATGATGTCGCTGGGGAAGGAGATGTTTCCATCTTTAGTTCATTTAGTGGCATGAAAAAGGAATGTCCTTTTCAAAAAAGAAGTAAATGACCTCTCACAATAGGGTTTTTTTGATGCAGAACACACAAAGAGCTATCAGGTTTAGGAAAAAGATGACAGAGAGAGTGCAGTTGGTATAGGAACTCACTATGATCATAATAGAAACTAGGGAACAAATACCATAATTCACTGTGTAATAGAGTCACACTCTTTTCCTCAAAAAAGGGGGTGCTACCATTATGTTATGAAAGAAATGTGTGGAGGCAGCTGTGTCTAGGGCTTTCCCCCTCTTATTTCTAAGGAGGCAGGAAAGAGCCCAAACCCAGCCTATTCCTCCTCAATAAGGCAGTTTTAAAAAAAGAAACACCCCTCCTCCTTTCTTCAGAAGTGAGAGAGAGAACCTTAGATCCAGCTTTCTTTTTTTGTATTTCTCCCTGAAAACTCTTACTTCCAAGGAGGAGATTGGAACTGAGGCTTTCCCTCTCTTACTTCCAAAGAGGGAGAGGAAGAGCCCCAGACCTAGCTGGCTCCATTTCTATTTCTTTTTTAAAATTGCCTTACTTCCAAGGGTGGTGAAGTGAATTAAATCCCTAAGCTGCAGAACTTACTGATTGAAAGGTTGGTGGTTTGAATCTACAGATGAGGTGAGCCCCAGATTCTGCCAACCTAGCAGTTCGAAAACATGCGAATGTGAGCAGATCAATAGGTACCGCTTCTGTGGGAAGGTAACAGTGCTCCATGCAGTCATGCCAGCCACATGACTTAGGAGGTGTCTGTGGACATCGTCGGCTCTTTGGCTTAGAAAAGGAGATGATCGCCACCATCCAGAGTTGGATACAATTAGACTTAATATCAAGGGGAAACCTTTACCTTTCCCTACTTCCGAGGACTAAAACATGATAGGATCACATATACTTGCAACAAAATGTTTTACTTTGTGTGTGTGTGTCAGGAGCAACTTGCGAAATTGCAAGTTGATTCTGGTGTGAGAGAATTGGCCATCTCCAAGGATGTTGCCTAGGTGACACCCGGATGTTTTGATGTTTTACTATCCTTGTGAGAGGCTTCTCTCATGTCCCCACATGGGGAGCTGGAGTTGACAAAGGGAGCTCATCCATGCTCTCCCCAGATTCAAACCTCTGACCTGTCAGTCTTCAGTCCTGCTGGCACAAGGATTTAACCCACTGTGCCACCGGGGGCTCTTTTACATAAATGCTAACAAGGATCACCTTAAGGGTTACACATGAAATGTCAGTCAATCTATTTTAAGGCAATTTGAGTATCTATACATCAATATATCTTTATTTACCATCTTAAAAATGAGAATGATGTAAAGACAAAGTAAGAAAAAAGGGCTTGTCTGGAGTATATTTTCTCATTTTTTTATCTCCTATATCTTTTAATTTTACTTGATCATGAGAAACATGTTAAAAGCAAAATTACTATAAAGAGGGACTCGGTGTGTTTTAGACAAAACAGCTATTACCTTCTCTGACATATGATAACATTTATTTTTAAAGTAATCCATGTTTCTGTCTTCCTCTTTCTCTCTTGCACACACAAAAACTTTCAGAAATACTCAAACTTACAGTGAGAGCAATGAGACAACGCTACGATGCACTCAGATACAAATTTGCAAGATATATGAAGCATGTCGACTCAATGAAAAGACATTACAGTTCGCTGAGATACAATTTTGCAAGATGCAGCAGACATGCTTTTCAGATGAGACACAACTACAACAAGCTTAGAAATAATATTGTAAAAATTACTAGGCAATACTATTGGATGCAACAACGGTACGACATGCTTAGAAGCAATTTTGAAAAATTTACTAGCCGCACCTACTTAATGCAACAACACTACAATACACTTAGAAATGATTTAGCAAGGTTTACTAGGTATGCCTACCGGATGAAACACAATTATGATGTGCTGAGATATAATTTTGCGAAATATATCATGCAAGCCAACCAGAGGAGACAATAGTAACATGTGCTGGGAATACAATTTTGTGAAATGCACTAGTTGTGCCTTCCAGATCTAACAATGCGACAAAATGCTCAGGAAGAATTTTGCAAGATTTACTCAGACATGCCTATTGGAGGAGAAAGCAATAATGCTACAGTTATACTTTGATAACATTTTGCAAGATTTGTTATTCGTGCCTACTGGATAA